CTGAATGCGCGACAGGGTACTTCGATTAACACGTTTGATCATGGAGGAAAGATGTATCCTGTTGTTTATGGTGGGAATGCTCCAAATTCCACCGGAGGATTCAATGCATCCATGTCCAAGTAAAGGAAGAAGTTTATTTTTATATGTTGCGGCAATGGCTGGATTTGCCATGATTGATGAATGATGATTGCTTACTGTTTTGTGGTCTCAAATGCAGGGATTGTAGCAGTAACACGTTGAGCAAGAAACGAGTCAAAGGGCGGATTGTGCTTTGTGATAGTGTAAATTCAGGGGAAGGTCCAGCGGCCGCTGGAGCAGCAGGTTCCATAATGTTAGCACAAGAACAGCAACTTGTGGCTAGCAACTTCCCCCTGCCAGCTTCTACTGTTTCTGGTTCCGATGAGATATCGAGATATGTTATGGAAAAAAGGTGTGGAACGAATCTTTGATTTCCTAGAGACGAAGCTCGTCGTGTATAAACATCTTTATTAATTTCGGCCTGACTAAGTTTCTGCTGACAAATTAACAGGAACCCAACAGCAACCATATTCAGGACAGTTGAAAAGAAGTCTGAAGCTTCACGAATTGTACCGTGGTTTTCATCTCGAGGGCCAAATGCTATAACACCTAACATTCTAAAGGTATAATATATCCATGGATTAGTACTTTTCCCCAGTTATAATGATTGATTTTGAGTGTCAAAGACTGAATATTTACATGATCGGTGCAGCCTGACATTGCAGCACCAGGAGTGGACATCCTGGCAGCATATTCCAGGGGGAAAACAGTAACAGGCATCGAAGGGGACAAACGAGTAGTTTCATACAACATCCTGTCTGGAACTTCCATGGCTTGTCCACATGCAACTGGAGCTGCTGCTTTGGTCAAATCCTTCCATCCCAATTGGTCCCCTGCTGCTCTCAGGTCGGCTTTAATGACCACAGGTATTGTTGATATGATAATCAACTAATCAATCACTCCACTTCTTCATTAGTTCCATTTCAATCTTTAGTTTCCTGATAACCCATTTCTGCTGTTGCAGCCTCTCCTGTCAGTCGGGACCAAAATCCTGACGCGGAATTTGCATACGGGGCAGGGCTCATAAACCTGAAGAAGGCCGCGAATCCTGGACTGATATACGATGCTAGAGAACACGATTACGTCGAGTTCTTGTGCGGGCAAGGATACAATGCGACGGAAATAAAGTTGGTTACTAGCAAAGCTGTGGATTGTTCTGACGTGGGCAAAAAGATACATGCTTGGAACCTGAACTACCCTTCTTTCACCCTGTCAGGAAAACCCGAGGGAACTGTGAAAAGGGTGTTCCGAAGAACTGTGACTAATGTTGGGAAAGGGCATTCCAAGTACAAGGCAAAAGTGATATCCTCTAAAGAGCTTAAGATCAAGGTGAACCCAAAAGTGCTTAGGTTTAAGGATGTGGGTGAAACGATATCGTTTCGTGTCACGGTGAAGGCAAAGCTGAAGCAGAGTGGGATCATCTCTGGTGTTCTGGTTTGGTCTGATGGATCTCATAAAGTCAGGAGTCCAGTTGTTGCTCATACACTACAATAAGCTTCATTTTATTGAGAGTAAACAATCAATCAACCACTTAGTAGGTATTAATTATGGAAAGAAATAACTTAACCTTAGTGATAAGCTCGATTATGAAACTAAAAATTGGAACGATACCAACTTCTCGATTTATGTCAATAATGAATAGATCGCCTAGATTCAAAGGTTTCCAACTATATATTTCCCTCTTTAACCAAATACAAGACTATTTGTCACCCGAAACTTGGGTCCACACGATCCTCTTAATTAAGGACGATCGAGGTGGTAAACTTGATTCGGAAATACTAATACCACACCCTTGATACCTGTGACAAATACATTTAGGATATAGCATCATATATCTCAAACTCTAAATATTAAATAATACCCAAAGTTAATTAAATAAAACATAACAGCTTACTTGCTAAATGCTTTGCTTCAGTTTCACTGAGTTTTGCTGCAAACCCACTTGTATAGCGAAAGTCATAGACAAGAGATTCCTCTGGTTTGCTATATCAAAGACATAGGCAGTCAAGAAAAACAGAAGGGTGTAACGGTGTCAGAAATTAACCCTAGCTAGCTAGATGATTCATGGAGGAATAAAAATTGTTACTGCAGTAATATTTTATATTGTTGAAGCATACATGTCTTGAAGCACAGTCTTGAGAAGATCTAGATGTGCAGGTTTGTTACTAGGTATAATCTGTGAATCCAGAAACACCAAGTAAACCTACAAAACAGAGGAGTTAAAAATTTTATGGATTGTAAAGTCTTACAGGAAAATTTGACGATAAAATAATTTTATGTTTGAAATTTTTGTTTAACCGTGATTCAATCATTTCATATTAATAAAAACCTCCTATCAATTTAACCTCTAATAAAAAATCATTTCAATCGGACCGTTGGTATGATACAATTTCACCAATATCAAACAATTTACACATTTGAAAGCAAAAGCCAAACTAATAAGTCAATAGATATGATTATCAACAAAAGGGGGAAATAAAAAAACAAGATTCCATCTAATTGCTAGAACTTTACTTAACCTTACCTTCCTAGGAGTAATACTAGCCGCGTGGCCATGAGTAATGGCAGTAGAAATGAAGATGATGATAAAGGTTCTTACTAGAGGGACAAATCGTAGAGCTTTTGCCACAGCCATTTCAGCGGGTGATAAACAAATGAACGAGTCGACTCTTTTTGTTCTTTTGTTTTTGTGTTTCCCGAACCTCAAAATTGGATCATATATATAATACTAGCTAGGGCAACAAATTCAAAATATAATAGCTCAATACAACGGACACTGCACACACAGATGCAAATTCCTATTCACACAGGTATAAATTCCTATTCATTTAGACCTAATATTACTGTTTACCTGACACTCTTCTGTGCGTTCTCTTTGGAGAAGAGTCTGTGTGTCAGCTGTTGGCGGGATGCCGATGTGCTCCACTTGGTGGCTGCCGTTTTGCCTTGCGATTTCTTTGCCAGGTGGTCTGTGTGTGAGATTTGTCCTTCTGATGGGATTGCCATTGCGACTTTTTACGGCTCCTTGGGATGCTATGGAATGGGCCTGATATGATCCAAGTTTCGCAACTACAAACAATTCAATTGATGGCCAAAGGATCAATCAACGTTGGAGTGAAAAATGGTCGAATTTGGCTAAGTGGTTGGGTTGTTTCGTGGTGCTTGCTTTGCAGATACATATCGTACATTATGGTTGATGGAAATGCGAGAGGAAGATTGGAGAGTGAAGGGAAGGTGTTTGTTTATCATCCTGGATGGTTGTTTGCACAAAGTCAAGTCCCTAAGTTCCTGAACGAAGAATGTCAAGTTGCTATGGTAAAACTGGAAAATGCCTGTTTTTGGCTAAGTCTGGGAACAGTTTCCGACACCATCTTTGGAGGCTTATTCAATTCAGATGGTGTAACTTTGAAGGACAAGAAGGTTTGGAAATTGCACTATGGACTCAGGAGAGCAAACGACTGAAGCCTGTTTGGGACGTTGATCCTTGGAAAGCTTCAATCGAGGGCTTCAAAGATGCTATGGAGACTGGTACCATTGCTTGGCAGGGAGGCAGCAGCGTGGACGAGAAGCAATTGGTTTTTGTTACCTTTTAGAGTTGGGATTCTGTTTCCTTGTCAAGCTAGAGTTAGATATTGTTTTCCTTGTTAGTTTAGAGTTAGAATTAGGCTGTTTGTTTTCTATTTAAAGGCTTGATAGCCTCGTGTACATTGGCAGAGTTTGATTGAATGAAAGCTGTGACCTTTGTCACCAAATACTTGTGTGTTGGTTGCGTTCCAGCAGCGAGTTTGCTTCGTATCGATTGAAACCACATCAATCGTGGCCGAGCTTCGACTTAAACCAATCGAGCCTCTTCCCAAGAGTGAAGTTGCACCTTTGGTCCGTTTTATTTTTCGTTTTAAGTTGCTTACATTCGAGTTTCGTTGGAAGAACGTTGAGCTGTGCACTTTGATCCCCTACAAGCACTACCGTGCTCGTATTAGGGCCTTAGTGATCGATTGCGTTGGTCGCAGAGATGGTTTTGGGGGCCGCTGCCGCCATTTTCCTTCTACTTTTTTCCTTAGCATTGGAAAGAGTTGCGTTGTTCACGTCATGACGTGGGGTTTGCTGATGGGTGATTTGAGTGTTGAGTGGGTTCTTTGGGAGCTGTAGCCGCCATTTTCCTTCTACTTTTTTCCTTAGCATTGGAAAGAGTTGTGTTGTTTAGGTGTGCGAGAATCAATGCTTGGGTAGTGGGCTGTGTAAGGGATGGCTGTGTTATCGAGGTAGGGGCCTTATTATTCAGAAGAAAAGGGTCTCCCACTCAGTTTGTTCTCGCTTTCTCACACTTCAGTTGGTTCTCGCTTTCTCACACCTCATTTTCTCTCCATCCTCATTTGCTTTGTTCTGCCTTTCGATGGATTCTGCTCTGCTGTGCAATTTGAGGGGAGGAAGTCGGGATGTTACGCTGCGCCTGCGCTTGCTTCATATGTGGCTCGCAAAAACGCCTTCGGGTTCATGGATTTTCAACCACTGTTGTCTATGGGCTGATCAGACGGTGAGTGTTTGTGAATCGGTTGCATTCTATGGATTGTGGGAGGGGGGTCCTTGGATTGTGAGAGTTCTCTTTCTTTGCTCTTTGTTAATTAATAGCTTTTAGGGTCGTTCTTTGTGGGAGTTCTCTTTCTTTGCTCTTTATTAATGGCTTTTAGAGTCTTTCTTCATTTTTATTTTCCTTCTGGTTGCGTTGGAGCTTTCGTCGTTGTCATGTTCATTTTAATTTTTTTTCCTGTTGAGTGCTCATGTTTGTGTGCGAAATGCAGGGAATGCTGATCCAGTCGATTGCTGATCCTGAGATGGCGGCAGATACGGAACGCGCTCTTCGCGTTGGTGCCATCTATGTTGTCAGCCGGTTCGGGCTTCAGTCGTCAAGGGGGCTGTATCGGGCTTGCTCTTTTGATCTAACTATCAAGTTGACAGGAACGACAGGGTTTCAACTCTGCACTCTTCCGGCTGCTGGATTCCCGACTGATTCTTTTGAGATTGTGCCGTATAGCCAGTTGCAGAGCCGGTGTGGGAACCATGCTATCCTCACAGGTTGTTCTCTCTTACCTTTGTTCTTTTTTACATTCAAGGTTCTTATATGCTTAGTTGTAGACTTGATTGATCCCTGTTATTTCCTGATTTGTGTGCATGGGTTTCTAAACTGAAGATGTCATTGGCCATTTGCATGCTATCGGCGGCGTTGGGCATCAGGTCACCGAGTTTGGACCTACTCCTAAGCAGATCTTGGTGCTTGAGAATCATATGTATGTGTGTCGTCGTATTTGTTGCTTTTGAGAGTTTGCCTTTTTGCTTGCTTATTGTATCCTTACATGAAATGCTCCTGGATTCTTTAGGGGTAAGACAGTTACCATCACTCTTTGGAATGAGCTTGCTACTGTTCTTGATCGTGTTGCTTTAATCCAAGCTGACTTGATTGAGCCTGTTATAATTGCTGTCGGAAGTCTCATGGTCTCTCTGGTTAATGGTATGTGCTTCTTTGTGCTCATGTCAAGGAACCCTTTGGGATCCTAAAGTTCTTTCGGTACCCTTTGTCTTTCTTTTGCATTTACATGGTTGCTTTCATTGGGTTTCTTGCAGAAAATTATGTGTGCTCCAGTTCGTCGGCTACTAGGGTGGCTGTTAACCCACATATTCCAGAAGCAATTCATTTGGCCACCTAGTAAGTTCTTTTTAGTTTTTTGCACCTGTTTTAAGTGATTTTCCAGCCCTTTTTATTGCTTTTGATTTGATGTTGTTTTGTTTTCAACTCAGCTTTGGGGGGGCGAGGGATCCTGTGGCGGAGTTGCCAGTGGAGTTTGCCACGGCTGAGGCAGCTGTTGCTGATGCTGAAAATAGGGTCCGAACCATAGATGACCTGTTGGACCTTCATACTCTCGGTGGATCTGTGGTATGCATCGAGCATGTTTGCCTTATGTTTACTCTGTGCGTGCTTGCAGTGTTTGCCGATTAATCTTTTTTCCCCTTTCTGTGTTCTGATGTCGTGGTGTTTAGGATGCCAAGTACTGTTGTGGTGGATTTGTTAGGTCCGTTGAATCTCGAAACCCCTGGTATTACACTGCTTGCAATATGTGCTTGAGGAAGTGCTCTACCTGGAGAGGAGCTGGTTATTGGTGCCTAGAGCATTGGGAAATTTCTGAGCAGCAGATTAGAGTTGGGTGAGAATTCTGTTCTGTACCCCTGTAATATAACTTTTTAGTTTATGTTCATATGATTAGTTTATTTGGTTTGCTTTCTAATGCACCATGTTATCTCATGTTTGTGGATTTTCAGTTATAAGATACAGCTGACTTTGAGGGACTCGACTGGGGAGGCTCCATTTATAGTTTTCGGTTCCTGTGGCAATGTTTTGACCCATACAACTGTGCATCTTTTGGCGCAAAGGTATCCACACAGGCCCGGGCAACTTCCACCGGAGCTGGATGTGTTGGTCGGCCAGTACTTCAAGTTTGAGGTCAAGCTGCCTATGGTGCCAAACAATGGAGCCTCCAGTGTAGAGTTTAGGGTCTTGCGGGTTTTCCCAAATGAGAATCTTGGCAACCAGCTACCTGCTCCAGTTATGCCTGCCCTCCCTCCTATTGCATCTGCTCCACTTCCAATCGCAACAGCTTCTCCTGCTCAGTCTTCTAATGATCCTCAAGTTCCACAGACAAATAATCAGGTCTCTCTGGATGTTTCAACAGAAAATGCCTCTGGACCGTCGTCGAGCAGGTGTGTTGTGTGGTTATTTTAGTTTTATTTTTTAACACTCTGAGGCATATTGGTTCCCTTGGGTTGTTTAACTATCTTTGCATTTATCAGTTCTGCAAAGGGTAAGGGAAAGATGATCAATCAAGTGTTCCAAAATGCCAATCCAGTGTTTCGTATTGGGCAGCCTATGCCTGATATGTCAAGGTGGTTATTTTCTACTATTTTTAACACTTTCTTTATTTGATCTTATGTTATTATTGGATATATATTGCTGATGTTGTGAGTTTTGCAGGCAAGTGGTCAGTGAATCTACTTCTGTTGTTCGTTCAGCAGGCAATTTGGTTCTCTCTCATGGTAGTGCAGCCCCTGTTTCGACTGGTTTGGCCCTCCCTATGAATCAAGTGTTGTCGGATCTAAGCCCCAAGAATCTTAAGGAAGTGGTCATGCTTGATAAGGGTGTCGTTGATGAGTCACCTGCATCTGCCGGCGATTCTGTTGTTGCTTCTCCAGTGGTTGTGAGTGAAGGACCAAATCTGTCCACCCCATCTCAGGCCATGCCTTCCAGTGCTTTGAGCATTTCTGCTGGTGCTGCGTCACAGGGTTCTTCTCCAACGACCAAGCTGTGAGTTCCTCTGCTGGCTTTGCATATTGGTTTGAATTCGCTGAACTGTTGCTGAATTGTGGTGTCTTTTTGTTTCAAATTGGCCTCTCCATTGGCTAAGGTGAAACTGGAGAAACTGGAGAGCAGCACCTCCCCCAAGAATGACAGTGATGGATCTCAGAGTTCTCCTACATTTACTATAGGGGAGTCAACCATAGGTGTTCGGGCAAGCAAACGAACCCCAGTGAAGCGTCGCCTTTATGACGTGTAGAATGACCCTTTTTGGAATTTTGTTGTGGTGTATGACCGCAAAGGTTAGTGGATGAGATAGTGTTGTGTTGCCTCTGTGTTGTTGTTAGGTTATGTTAAAACTTTTGGATATTGACCTTATTGTTTGTTTGCTTTTTCATGTGCAGGTGGTTTTGGGTGTCCTCTGTGATGTTGGTTGTTGCTTGATCAAGTTTATGATGTCGCTGATGAATATATGAATTATTAGTCATGTGGTTCAAGGTGGTTTCCTTCCTCAGCCTAGATGAGTTGATGGCTTTTGTTAAGGAAATGTAGGTTTATTTTGTGAGAATCAGCTCTGTAAATAGTGCCTTTGTGTAAGGTACTGCATTCTCTAGGTGTTTTGTAGTAGAATTATGTGGAACAAGTATTTGATGATTATGGTTAAGGACAAGTATCTGGATGGTTTGTAAATGATAATTATGCAGGTTTGTAGTAGAATGATCATTTGGAACAAGTATTTGGTGATTATGGTTAAGGAAAAGTATATGGGTGGTTGTAAATGATAATCGTGCAAGTTTGTTTGTGGCATTGTGATTTTTAGCTTCAGATTATATGTGTTCATGAAATGCTTTTCAGTTTCGGACTGAGGCTGTGTTATTTGTATCAGCCTAATTTTTGCTTTTGTATAGTTGATCATGCAAGGAACCGACTGTTATTAATCAAGATATGATAGGTAAAAAACTCAGGGTTTTTTTGTTTAGTTCATTGACACCTTCTGCTGTGATTACCAAAAACTAAGATCCTTAGATTATCAGTGCATCCCAATTGCAGTCTCTGAACTTTATAATTATTGGTTAAATTGAATTCGTTTTGTTTGATATTACAAACACAGGCATATATATAAAGATTTTTATCATTTCTATGAGGACACATGTTAGTTTCTGTTTGGCTGGAGAATTGATCCTATTTCTTTCATTTCATTAGTCAGCCATCAACAATTAGGACTCATGCATTTAATGCACTCAGATCCTTATATTTGCTAAGTGATCACAAGGATGGTGGTAATGATTACCTTTTATAATTTTATATTGAATTACTGTATTGCTTGATATATTATCAGTTCAGGACTATTATGGCTGTTATGTAAAAAAGAGCCTTCTTGCTTAAAAGACTCTCACCTCTGTTGGATAGCCATTAGAGTTGTGGTTGATCTATGATCATTCCACCAGAATTTATTGATGAAAGTCTGTTGTCATTGATTCTCTGAAGTTATTACCTCCTATGTTGTCTGCTACATCACAGAAGAACAAAGGTTGGTTAAATCTCTGCACTTCTTTCACTGATAAAGGCTGGCCTTTATGATTCAAAGTTATTCTGCTCATTTATTGTGAATGCATTCTCATGTAAAGTACAACATTAATGTAGTCTTTCCAGCAAAGAATTGCTAATCATGTGTCTTCATTAAATCTCTGCAGCTTTTGGAGTATCTATTCCTTGCTGATTGACTTGAAGAAACAACTAGGTGAGGCCTTTTTCACGTTTTTGTTTGTTACGAGATACCATTTATTCTTCAGAGTTGTTTGAGTCATTTATATCCTGTGTGTTTATGTATAGTTTACCAAGGATGCCTCCAAAGAGGAAACGATCAGCTCCTTATAGCTCATTAAAGGCCAAAAGGTCGAGGATTCAGATTATTGCTGCTGGTACCAGCAAAGAATCTGCAGATCATCATCATTCCACTCAGGCTGTCCCAGATCCTTACCAAACAAATGAAACCTCTGCAGGGGCAGATGGTCGTTCTTCTACTGATAATGTGTGTGTAGGTGTTGTTCCAGCACGCAGGCCTCTCCAAAAGGAAGTTTTGAATATTGGAAAACCAGAATGTGTGTGTCGGTATTGTGGAGCTCTTTTTTTGGTACCATGAGAGATTAAATCGCCAGCGAAATACTTCTCAACCGATTTATGGAGTATGCTGCCAAAAGGGAAAGGTGAATGTTCCTCTTCTTAAGCAACCTCCACCATTACTTGCACAGTTGCTTGATCTGAATGGAGGGCCGATGTCCAAACATTTTCGAGAAAATATACGCCCATATAATGGATCGTTATGTTTTACGTCTTTTGGAGCTAAATTGGACCCTCGATCTCTAACAAGTAGGGGTCCCTATTCCATGGTTATTTGTGGAGAAAACTATCATAGGATTGGTTCTTTGCTGCCGGTAGACGGAGAGAAGCCAAAATTTGCACAATTATATATATTCGAGCCTGAAAATGAGGTGAATAACAGATTGGCGAATTTTGCATCTCGAGAAACATTACTTCTTCCTGAGCTGCTAACATCTTTGCTGAGGATGCTCGACGAGACAAATGTTTTGGTCAAAACTTTCAGGAGAATTAGACAAGAGCTGCAGCAGTCTTCCACTGCAAATCTTCGATTGAGAATCTTTGGTATGGAAAGCAGGAATCGACAATATGATCTGCCAGCAAGTGATGATGTGGCTGCTTTAATTCCAGGAGATTTTCTGCCAGATAGAAAAGATAGAGACATCATAGTCAACCACAAAGAGGAGGGTCTAAAGCGAATATCAAGTGTCAACCCAAAATTTGAAGCTCTTCACTTCCCGCTGCTTTTCCCATACGGAGAAGATGGATACCATCCCTGTATGCCATATGATCCTAGATACTGTTCAGTTTCTGCCAAGAGGAGGTTCGTGACTCAGCGGGAATATTATGCATTTCGACTTCAATATCGTATGAATGAGGGTCATACATTGGTCAAGAGTGGGAAGGCTATTCAGCATTACTGTGTTGATGCGTTCTCTACTATTGAGCTCAATAGACTTGCATTCCTGAGAAGCAACCAAAAAGAACTTAGAGCTGAAGTTTACCAGGGTTTGCGAGATGCATTTGCTAGGGGTGATATGGATGCTGATAAGATCAGACATGTTATCATACCTTCATCTTATACAGGTGGCCCGAGATATATGCAGCAGTTATATTATGATGCCATGGCTATATGTCAGTTCTTGGGCAATCCGGATTTATTTGTTACTTTCACGTGTAATTCACTATGGGAAGAGATAACTTCTGCATTTGCAGAGATTGTTGGAACACATGGTGAGTACGAACCCATGGTGGTTTGCCGAGTATTTCATATAAAACTTATGAAGCTAATTGATGAAATACTTCGGGGGAACTACTTTGGCAAGACTATAGCAGGTGAGTTTTGCTTGGTTTGATTTGTTGAGCTGACTGTTTATTTTATGATAATGTTATGTATCACTAAGATAGAACATGCTAGATCTTGATGTGTATAAGTTGTTAAGGTAAATAATGTGTCGAGTCTTCTACTTTTTGACTCATTTGTTAATTATAAACATTCTACTTTTATGTGAAAGGAGCTGACTCCTGCTTTTCTTTGTCTTATGCAGTAATGTATACTATTGAATTCCAAAAGAGAGGACTTCCTCATGTACATTTGCTTATATGGCTTGCTGACCCGGATAAAATCAGAACCACAGCTGATATAGACGAAACAATCTCAGCAGAAATACCAGATCCTCATCTTGATCCTGTTGGGTATGAATCGGTTGTTAGATTTATGCTTCATGGACCCTGCGGAAGTGCAAACCCATTGGCGCCCTGCATGAAGGATGGAAAGTGTTCTAAGTTTTTCCCAAAGAAATTTAGTTCAGAAACTGCATTTGACAAGTTTGGAAATGTCATTTATAGACGCCGAGACTCCGGGATTCAGGTAAAAAAGGGCAATGCAGTTCTAGACAATACGCATGTTGTTCCATACAATAGAAATCTGTTAGTTATGTTGCAGGCACATATTAATGTCGAAATTTTTCATAAGGGTGGCTTGATCAAATATTTATTCAAGTATTTGACCAAGGGACCAGATAGATCCCTGGTGGTAGCTGAAGATTCTACAACTTCTAGACAAGTTCCATCGTTGAATGCAGTGAGAGATAGAGACGAGATACAGGAGTACATTGATTGTAGATCCCTGTCCTCATATGAAGCAATATGGAGAATCTTTGAATATGAGATACATCACAGAGAGCCAGCTGTTGTTAGACTTTCTGTTCACTTGGCTGGACAACAGAAGGTGCCATATAGAAAACAATCAAATGTTGGCAGCGTGCTCAGGAATCCAAAAGTTGGCAAAACACATCTCACACAATGGTTTGCTCTAAATCGAAGGGATCCAGAGGCAAGAAAATTGACATATGCTCAAATACCGAATGCATATACATGGAATGAAGATGAGAATGAGTGGACTCCACGTCAGAAAGGATTTGCAATCGGCAGAATTGCATATGTACCTCCAGGAAGTGGTGATGTGTTCTTCTTAAGGCTTATGTTAACAATAGTTCCTGGACCTACAAGCTATATTGCTTTGAGGACTGTTAATGGGGAAGTCTACCCTAGCTATGAAAAAGCATGTGAGAAATTGGGGCTTCTGTCAGACTCTTCAGAATGGGTTAGAGTTCTACAAGAAATATCAGCATCTAGCATGCCAAATTTGATAAGGAGTACATTTGTATGCATGTTGATGTTCTGTGAAGTTCCAAGTCCTCTTGAATTGTTTGAGTCAAGCTGGAAATTCATGGCGGAGGACCATGCTTATTCTCTTAGAAAACAGTTCCGTTCAGAAAATTTCCAGCCTTCTGATGAGAGGCTGCGTAATTGGGTTCTTCATCAATTACAGGCTTTGCTAGGATCTTATTCGGCGTCGTTGGCTCAATTTAACTTATCAAAACCAACAGATTTAGGAGTGGATGATGAAAACAATTCCTTACTCAATGATCACTTGAGTTTTGATGTTTTGCAGCAGCAAGAACTTTCAGATTCACTGCTTCAATCCCTTAACATAAATCAATTTGAAGCCTATTCAGCAATCATGGTCTCAATCCATGGTAATCTGGGTCGTTCCTTCTTTTTGTATGGCCATGGGGGTACTGGAAAAACTTTCTTATATAGTACCATCATCTCAAAATTGAGGAGCCTCTCGAAAGTTGTCATTGTGGTGGCTTCATCAGGCATAGCAGCAACTCTCTTACCAAATGCTACCACTGCGCATTCCAGATTTAAAATTCCCCTTCATCTAGATGCCACATCCACCTGCTCGGTCAAAAAAGGGACTCACTTGGCAGAACTTATACAAAAGGCAGCACTAATTGTTTGGGACGAAGCGCCAATGACACACAGACAAGCATTTGAGGCCGTTAATAGAACCTTATGTGATCTCATGAACATTCCTCTTGTGGGACCTGGACATAAGCTATTTGGGGGGAAAACAGTCCTATTTGGAGGCGATTTCAGGCAAACTTTGCCTGTTATTCAGGAATCTGGACGTGAGCAGACAGTTGAGGGATCTCTCACAAGGTCTGACATGTGGAATTCCTTTACTTTACTCAGGTTATCAAGAAACATGAGGCTTGACACCTCATCGGCGAATGAAGCTATTATTATCAACAAATACACATTTGGAGAATGGGTTCTTGCACTTGGTGATGGAAAGCTGCCTGTCAAACGTTTCAAAGATGACACACCAGCTGACTGGATTCAAATTCCAGATTTGTTTTTGGTTCAACCAAGAGTTGACCCAATAACTTCTATTGCAGAAGAAATATATGATTCCTTCACTCAAAACTATATGGACACAAAATATCTGACCTGCCGGGCAATCGTGACTCCTACAAATGCAAAGGTCAGTGATATTAATGACTTAATGCTTCAACAAGTGCCTGGACTGGTTCGTTCTTATTATAGCTCAGATTCTATGCAGCGTGATACAGAAATACCCAAGTCATTTGATGAAACATACCCAACTGAGTTTCTGAATACACTGACGTTCAATGGTGTGCCGAATCACGAGCTTAGATTGAAGGTCCACACTCCTATTATGTTATTGAGAAATCTAAATACATCTGCTGGACTTTGCAATGGAACAAGGGTCATGATCACAGAACTGGGAGAAAATGTTATCAAAGGGGTCATCATGGGTGGAACTTTTGACAAGGATCCTGTAATCATACCAAGAATTGTGCTAAATGTGGAGGACAAGAAGTGGCCATTTATACTTAAGAGGCGTCAATTTCCAGTGCGTCTTTGTTATGCAATGACTATAAACAAAAGTCAGGGCCAAACTCTTGAGAAAGTGGGTGTTTATCTTCCAGAGCCTGTATTTAGTCATGGCCAACTGTATGTTGCTGTTTCGAGAGTAAGATCGGCAAATGGTCTTCGCTTTCTGATATCTAACACAAATGGGATCCCAGCCAATTACACCAGAAATATTGTCTTCACTGAAGCCTTCGAAGATATCAACACAGATCGAATGAACCGTTTGCAGTCATAACAGGTACCCTATTCATGCATTCATAGCTAAGTAAAAGTTGCTTTTAATCTAATTAACAATTTTTGTAGAAATTTTTTGTTCCTGTTCAGCCTGCCAATGCACAGAAATTTAATAGAATACATGTTTACCCAATTGCAGGAATTAATGAAGTCGGAGAACCCAATAAAATCATATCAATGCATTTTGTAGCAGCCGTCGATTGCTTGCATTTTCAGCCTCTATGTTGTTTTGCCTAATTTATATGAGGACAGCCCATGTGCAACCATCTTTATTTAGCAGAGCATTTAATTTCTTCTACTTTTTGACTATGAGAATCATTCTCATACATATTGGTCAGGTTTGGCTCTCTAACTAACAACTAAGATATGTTTGTGATTATCACAACGTGTAGCAGGTTATCCATATTTATCCTATCCAAAACTAATGAATGAACCTACTTTTATTGCAAGTGTGCATCTATAGTTTCCAGTGCCTATTCATTCATCAAATTTTAGCACAGATGGTTGGATGTTAGTCCTTTCTCAAAAAACTAAACTGCTTACTTTGCACTTACAGTATTTGAAAGGTTGGATGCTTTACCATATATCTTCATAAGGCACAAATGGATCGTTCTGAACTCAAGATAGATACAAGATAACATAATTTGTTCTCACAAACATTTGAATGACATATTTTGAATCATTACCGAGTATCTCATTATTTGGCTTTTACACAAAATCAAATTTCTACCATGCTCACCATGTGCAGCTCTCTGACAACAACTTGAAGCCCCTAAATATCTAATGAAACCAGGTCCAACTTTAAATTCTGGGATTCTGCTGTTCAGTTCTTGGTGTGCTTTTTATGTTCATCATCCAAAATTTTAGGTCCACACATTAATCCAACAAAATGAAAAACTGAAGACAATGGTCGTTTGTTAAACGCATAGTAGTGGGCATCCATTTAATTGCTAGGCCCGAGTACACGTTGGACTTGCATACACAAATGGACTATTATTTGTTGCCCTTTAAGAGCCCAATTCTAACTGCGGCCTTATAAAAAAAAATTAATTATAAATCAGCAACTTTGGTTATGAGAGGTAGTCTACCACAAAAAATTATAAACTCTTTTTTCGAATCTATTACCCAAAAACATGGCTGAACATTATCATCATTGTCGGATTAGACGATATATTGAATGTATCATTGCATCGATTTATCACAAGTCCCGGCGCAGAGCGCGGGCCACGATAACTAGTTAAGTGTTATTTTGTCATCAGTTATGCAAATGTAGAGTATATAACACAACATTAAAGTGAAACATTAATAATGTTGATGAAGAAGACAAACTGAGAATATAAAATACCCATCGCAAAAGAATCAAGAGCGAAAAGAAGGAAAAGTTAACCTTTCGAGTTTTGAGTGAGTTTCGTTATCGTTTTATTGATTCCTTCTTTCTTTCGGCAATATTATGATTTATTGACATTTTTTTAATGAAAAAAAGCTTTCAACATATTATGTTATATATTTTTTTTTTTCATAGGGCTCTTTCATTACGGTGATAATGAGGTAGACTTCTCAAAATCACTACTAGCTACTTTAAGTAGTAATTGTTGTATATAATTTACAACTATTTTGGTCCCGACCATCGGTCAGGACAGTATTTCAGAAAAATGTTTTTATAACTTTCATTTTAATTTAATCAAATTTAATGCATATTTTTGCATCTGTCTTATCAAAACTATCAATCGATTCGTGAAAACTAAATGACTTTGCAATTGAATTAACGGTTAATATTTTTGTCTGTCCCGAATGTTTCTCATCTTTAGGATCCTGGTCAATCTTTTCAATATATAACGTAGCTTGAACCAACTCTAAACTTTATTTGACTGGCCAAACCGAGAGTTGACCATCATGTCGAACGGTTAAGATTGTTGACTAATAGTCAACTCGTCATGTTACCACTCGGTTAGCATATTTTGACTAAAAATGATCCTAGTTTTGACCTTAACGTGATGCAATGGATGCGCTATGAATCCAAAGATCTTGATAGAGTGGTTAGTATATCGTCAACCAAAAAATTTGTTTATTCTAACGAAGTCTTATATGCCATAATGCATATAGGAGAAGAACACAAATCACCGACTCGAAAGGAGATTCTATGGTATCTGGCTACACATTTTGGATACCGTGCACGAGAAAATATTTTCAAGCAAATAGTAGATGAATGCGTGGAACGAGGCAAAGTGAGAAAGAGTTCAAACAAAAAAGCAAAGAAATGATATCATTCAGTTACAATGTTACATTATTCAGATAATACGTTAAATTTTGATTTGCGAGGTTGTTTTCTTTTGGATATTCAATGTTTTTTTGTTTATTTGATTAGTTTTACAATGATATATTTCAAGGAATTTAGAGTATGAATCGTTTACTCAAAGCGATCGACCTGGGGAAAAAAGGTCGACTTCGTAGGCAGAGCACAGGCCGACCTCGTCTGCTTATGGTCGACCTATGACAATTTTAGTTAGCTCCAAAACAATGTTGAATAAGGATTCAGTTCTGGTGATTTTCTAGCAAACACGGTCGACCATGACCATAAAGAGGTCGACCTATATGTGCAGGAATTTTGTGTACTTTTCCTTGTAGAATTAGGATTTTGTGTATCCTTGACTATTTGGGATAAGTGTTCCCCATACTATTAAGGATAAGGACTTCATCTATATTCTCTATAAATAGATGAAGACTTAAGACTTTCATCATAATTCGATTTATGCAATCTGTTGGTGTGAAGTTGTAATTTCATCGTCCTTATTATGATCGTGTGTTGGTGTAATCCGGTGCTTATTCCGTTCGACCTTATACCTAAGTGGTCGACCTTATTTGCTAAGGTATGTTTTCAGTATCGGCCGAATATCGTTTGTACTTAACTAATCATCAAATATCGGTCGACCTTGTACTAAAAGAGGTCGACAATATTTTGCGAGTCTTGTACGCCGTGGTCGTCCAAAATTCTGATGTGGTCGATCGCACTTAGTCTTCTCTATACAACTGTGTGTCATGTGTGCTTGATTACGAGCCAGGGGTCATAAACATGAAGAAGGCTGCAAATCCTGGAGTGATAAATGACGCAAGAGAGCATAATTACGTTGATTTCTTGTGCGGACAAGGATATATACAATGCGACGGAAATCAAGCTGGTGGCTAGCAAGGCTGTGGATTTTTCTGAAACGTTCAAAAAGATACATGTGTGGAACCTGAACTACCCTTCTTTCACCCTGTCAGGAAAACCTGAGGGAACTGTAAAAAGGGTGTTCCGAAGAACTGTGACAAATGTTGGGACAGGGCATTCTAAGTACAAGGTAAAAGTGATGTCCTCTAAAGAGCTTAAGATCAAGGTGAACCCAAAAGTAGTGAGGTTTAAAGATGTGGGTGAAACGATGTCGTTTCGTGTCACGGTGAAGGCAAAGCTGAAGCAGAGTGGGATTGTCTCTAGTATTCTGGTTTGGTCTGATGGAACTCATCAAGTCAGGAGTCCTCTTGTTGCTCATACATTACAAAAACCTTCATTTTCTGGTTTTATTGGGTACCAAATAGATGTTTTGTTTAACTCAAATATATCTATTTGTTGGGATAGCGAATAACGATGAACTCGACATGTCCAAAGCATGCATGTACTTCTGAGTCTGGATGCATTTTCTTATGACAAATTTAAAAGTACCAACATTGGTTAGGGATTCGAGTTCGTATTAAGTTTTGGGGCTTCAATATGGGTTCTATGTTTCTAGACATCCGAACTCCATAGTATTGTCATAAAGCTTCTTTATTTTGCAATGAAAAACTTGAAAGATACTTGAAATTCTATAGAGATATCAACGATACTTTGAGCTTTTAGGTTTCTGTCGAAATCAAATAGCTGGTAATTGAGTATCTTACACACATCTAACAGTTGAATGATCACGAGAGTGAAAGGGGAAAGTTGTGGGGATATCATTTTGAAGCTTACTTGGACCTCAGATAACTTTATTAAGAGTAAACAATCATTCAACGACTTAGTAGGTATTACTTCTTGAAAGAAATAACTTAACCTTAGTAATAAGCTCGATTTATGTCAATAGTGAATAGATCGTCTAGATTCAAAGGTTTCCAACTATATATTTCTTTCTTTAACCAAATCCAAGAATTTTTGTCTACCGAAACTTGGGCCCACACAATCCTCTTAATTAAGGACGATCGAGGTGGACAACTTGATTCGGAAACACTGATAGCACACCCTTGATACCTGTGACAAATACATTTAGGATATAGCATCATATATCTCAAACTCTAAATATTAAATACTACCCAAAATTAATCAAATTAAACATAACAACTTACTTGCTAAATGCTTTGCTTCAGTTTCACTGAGTTTCGCTGCAAACCCACTTGTAGAGCGATAGTCATAGACAAGAGATTCCTCTGGTGTGCTATATCAAAGACATAGGCAGTCAAGAAAAAGCGTAGGGTGAAACGGGCTCAGAAATTAACCAATGCAGTCAAAATCACGCTTTAAAACTTAAAAACTTACGATTTTACGCTTTTAGGTCACCAAAACGCTTTCGTTTTCATATAAAAACTGAAGTGCATAAAAACGGACTAAATTGCGCTTTAAAGCTTAAAAGCTTACGCTTTTACGCTTCTAGTTCACCAAAACGCTTCACGTTTTTACGCTTTTAGTTCACAAAATGAGTATTCTTTTCATGACATTAATTATAAAAAATATATTTTAAAAGTAAATCACCAACAATATAATGAATTTGAGATTAAAAGATACACTACCAGGTACTTTGATGCATTCTTAACTTCAATAGAGTAATCTAATTCACCAGCTAGGCTCTTCCCGAATTCATTAGCATATAGGAAAAGTTGGCTTATTGTTAATATTTATGTTTACGAACTTATTATGTAGATGCTATAAGTTGCTCTACTTTAGGCATGAATTGCATGTATTTATTAACTTATATAAATTCTGAGCATTCATATTTTACACAGTATATGTCCTACTTAAAAGATTTTTAGTTATTTTTTAGTATGTGTAAAAAACTTACGCTTTTACGTTTTGATTCTATGCTTTACGATTTTACCCATTTTCCGCTTGTAGGTAGAATCACGCTTTTAACTGCATTGAAATTAACCCTAGCTAGCTAGATGATTCATGAAGGAAAAATTTTGTTACTACAGTATTATTTTATATTGTTGAAGCATACATGTCTTGAAGCACAGTCTTGAGAAGATTTAGATGTGCAGGTTTGGTACTAGGTATAATCTCTGAATCCAGAAACACCAAGTAAACCTACAAAACAGAGGAGTTAAGAATTTTATGGATTGTAAAGTCTTACAGGAAAATATGACGATAAAATAATTTTATGTTTAAAATTTTTGTTTAACAGTGATTCGGTCATTTCATATTAATAAAAACCTCCTATCAATTTAACCTCTAATAAAAAATATTTCAATGGGACCGCCGGTAGGATACAATTTCACCAACATCAAACAATTTACACATTTGAAAGCAAAAGCCAAACTAATAAGTCAATAGATATGATTATCAACAAAAGGGGGAAATAAAAAACAAGATTCCATCTAATTGCTGGAACTTTACTTAACCTTACCTTCCTAGGAGTAATACTGGTCACGTGGCCATGAGTAATGGTAATAGAAATGAAGATGATGATAAAGGTTGTTACGAGAGGGACAAATCGTAGAGTTTTTGCCATGGTCATTTCAGCGGGTGATAAACAAATGAACGAGTCAACTCTTTTTGTTCTTTTGTTTTTGTTTATGTTTTTCCCTTTCCTTAAAATTAGATCGTATATATAATACTAGATAGGGTACCAAATTAATAGTTATTTTGTCGTTATGCAAATGTAGAGTATATAACACAACATTAAAGTGAAACATTAATAATGTTAATAATGTTGATGAAGAAGAGAAACTGAGAAAATTTAATACCCATCGCAAAAGAAAATTTAATATTCATCGCATATTTGTGCATCGTCTTATCAAAACTATCAAGCGATTTGTGAAAACTTTATGACTTTGCAATTGAATTCACGGTTATTATTTTTGTTTGGCCTGAATGTTACAACTCGATCAACATATTTTGACTAAAAAAATTCATATTTTTCACAAAGTGCCAATTTTCCTATTTAGTTTGACTAAAATAAAATAAAAATGTAATCACCTTTCTAAGGTTTGTTGTCTAGATTTTGTGATGTATTTTCATGACTTTGTGGTGTGAATTTTGTGGTCCTCACCCCTCCCACGTTTAATTGCACAATACATATTGGTCCGCCTCTCTCTCTACCAATTTTTCATAGTACCAAGTGTGCCTCTATGCCCCATTTTCATTCATTAATTGTGGTAAACTCATTCAAAGTAAAAAATCATCAAACGAAATATTCCTATTAGTTGGACAAGTGTCACTAATACTTTTCCAAGTACATTTCGGTGCAATGCTAAGGAAGAGTAATCCTTGGAGTTGAATATCTTCTACCAATTAAGAATGCATATGTGCATAGTTTTTGACATAGCTAGAATTGGTTTATAGTCCACAAAGAGCAAGCATCCCTACACAGTCCCTATCCAATATTTCTGACATACTACTACAACCACCACCAACGATAAGTACTGAACCAAAAGTCCAAAACAAACAAAAGCAAAATCAAAAGCTAATTCATTAGGCCTAATACAAGAAAAGGGCTCATAGTTTAAGGTTTGAGTCACTTGTATTCCTAGGTTAATAACGCGTCACTTATGTCTAAAAGTTTATAGTTCTCATGTCAATTTTGTCCACACTCATTTTGTTACGTTGACTATTAGATTTGACAGTCAACTTAACGGCGGCGGTCAACAATTTGTTGACTTTGTGCCAATATATCTGCCATGTCATTGACACATAAGAATATTTGTTAAAATTTAAATAAAAATAAAAAATTTACCCACACAACATTTTTTGTCTAGCACAAATTAACAAATTCCCAACAAAGAACCTTTACATACCGTTTGGTATAAATGAATTCCATAAGTTTTGAGCAATTCATTTTGAAATGAAATATTTTTGTGTTTGGTATTAAAATGAATTCATTTTCAATTCTAAATTTTGAATTCTACGGAATTGGAACTAGTTATAGCAATTCTGAGGAATGGAGATAGAATTTCCAAATGAATTCCACAAATATTTACTAATTATAATAAAATGACATAATTATCCTCTTTTATTAACTGAATTACTTATACATATGACATACCAAACACATAAATTAATTTGACAATGAATTCTACACGACACTTCAATTATTTTAATATAACATACCAAACATAGGATTTCATTTTGCAATGAATTCTACAATGTAATTCATTTTACAATGAAATGAATTCTCGATTCATTTGGTACCAAACAGTCTGTTACTTCCATTATTTTCTCCTTACCTATACACACAGACATCGGAGGACGGCGTGGATTGGGAGTGGAAGCGGCGATGATTGATGACCTGTGGGTGTGTCGCAGCAAGGACTGGAGTAGCTCTATGATGCTGTTGGTGCGGGTCTGCGAAGAAGAAAAAAAGAGGATATGGTTCACTTGGGAAAAAGGGAGTCAAATCGTTTCAGCGTAAACATGCATGGTGGCCATGACCGGCAACGAGCTACAAGGTGCCTCTAGAGGCGAGGCGGCTGATCACTGCGGGTCGAGCCATGACGCAGGGGAGGTAATCGGAGCGGATCAAAATAAGAGGTTGAATCTAGATTTCTGGGTAGTGTTAGAGAGTAGTATAAGATCCAGCAAAACCTTCTCCCAACAACTCGAGTTATTGGGAGCAACTGGTTCTTGACATGGTATCAGAGCCTAGAACCGAAAGGTCATGTGTTCGAATCTCCACGACCCCCAATATTAACCGTTGTCTTTCAAGCACAGGGTATGGTGGGCCTGTGCAAACTTCAAGCTCATGGGTTTGCTTTCGTTTGAGGGGGCGTGTTAGAGAGTGGTATAAGATCCAACAAAACCTTCTCCCAACAACTCGAGTTATTGGGAGCAACTGATTCTTGACAGGTAGAAGCTCGAAGGTCAAATATGGAATGGGGAAATCGAAGGTCGAATCTCGTTCGTTGTCGATTTGAGCTCCGACTCCCCGTTTCCCGTTCGTCATCGATTCAAACATGCACGATGGGAAAATCGAGATGCGTAAGCATTGGGTCAGATGGGAAAGATGATGGGTTTGGAATCAAAATATGGGTGTGGGATTCACATGGAGGATGGGGAAATCCAATTTGAGTGCCGGATCTGGAATCCAATTTTGGTATGGGGTTCAATTTAATATGCTTCCAATCCATGGATTCCTTTTTCTTAGGTTTTCGTCTGAGGAAGACGATGGTACGAACATTAAGGAATGGGGGAAAACGGCAAAATCCTATTTTGCAATTTTAATTGATAATTTTTTATTAAAATATGGAATTCTATTTTTGAAAGTATTCATTTTTATTTACTTTATATTAAATGATGTGGCAAAAAATCCATGTCATATGCCACATCATCGATCAAAATTTTGATTGTTGACTACCAACGGTCAAAGTTAACGGAAATTAAACTTTGGGACATAAGTGATAC